GAGTATTTTAAGGAGGTATTTAATGCAAACTTGTCCATGGCCTCATCGCTGTACTCTTCACGACCCAATAAAAAGCAGCTCTACAGGAGAGGAGCCCCATCAATACTCTGATTTACTTTGGTCTAGGTGTGTGTGTGTGTGTGTGTGTGTGTGTGTGTGTGTGTGTGTGTGTGTGTGTGTGTGTATTCAAAGGGCCGTGTGTGAGACAGAGTTACTCTCCAGAGTGTTTGCTCACACACACACTGGCCAAGAGGCAGCCTGGTTGCCGCAGAGCGTGTACTTGAGAAAGGACACCTGAGTTTGTAAATCAGTCTTGTTCTGTTTTTTGCTCCACGGTTTGCTGTCCGTCCTAGTTTTAGTGTCATTTTTCTTTATTGGTGTTTTGAATCATTGTCCCACTGGTCCCTCCCCTTTTAGCTAATTTTTCTCTTTATTTCTTCTCTTCCCTTTTTATGTATTTCTCTTTTTGCTTTACCTGGCTGTTGTTCAAGTGTGTTTTGCAATCTCATGCCCTCTTAAATTTTACCACGTAGGTTTTTTTATTTGATCTACTGAAAATGTTTTTAGTTGGTATTTTTCAGCTGTACCAGACATTTCCCAATGATACAGGACATATGTTTCCTCAATCAGTTCTTAATACAGTCTTTGGTAAATGTTTTTTCATAGCTGTCTGCCAACTTGTATCTCACTTTTCATGCCTTACCTTCTGTTGTTTTCTCAAATGCTGATGGGTGGAAATACATCACAGCCTTTTTTTTTTTTCATAAGATTAGCGATTTAGCCCTAATTAAGCCGCCCCACTAACATCGACAAGTCCATAGTAGATATTCTACGCTTTAGCAATTCCCCCATGTTTTCTTCACAGCTCCCCATGTTGAAAGTTTGGCTGATGCCTTGATTCTCACTCCTCTTAATTAGATCAAGGAATATGTGAGACGTGTTGCACTGTTTATCTACCGATTAGAGCCCATTAGAAAGTAGGGATGCACTCCCCAAGCTCTTTAAGTAAGCTGCATGGACAACGACACTTTTTGATGTTTTGGCAGAGTTTTATGTGAAACCATATTGAGGCTCAGCTGCTAGAGTGCACATTTCTAAGCCTCATTTCACATTTTTATTTATATAAAGATAATGAGGATGTCAAGTAGTATTCTTTCATGTGATAGACATGCAGAATAGAGACTAAAGGGTTCTACCAAGGGATGTTGAACCCCTTTTTTTAAAAGATCTTCAGTGTTTTATTTGTATTTATTCAAATAAGACTGTACAGTATCTATATAGGAAAGTTCAGAATTATTCCTTTTTTTTCTTTTGTGTTTTTTTTAGCAGGCAAACTTCACATTTTACTGATTTTAAATTATGCAAACAGTGTGTGCCATTAGTGTCATTTAAAACTGGTCCTGAAAGATGACAAGGTTCACAGTTTTTTCAGCTATAAAATGTATCCTTTTATAATTTTATTGGTTTCCCTGTCTTGTGCTTCATATAGTAGACCGAACAAGGGTTTAACCCTTGCAAAATCCTTTCATAGGTTGGAAAATAGAAAAAGCATGCCAGAGCAAGATGTTTAATGTGTGCTGGTCAGGTAAACATTTCTCCATCCATCCTCATTAATAAGACCCAGGTCACCCATTCAAAAAAAGCAAAACACCGACAAGAAAACACAAACAAACATCTCAGCTACTTTGTAATTTAACCTCATACTGTTGTTTATTTTTGTTATCTGCCATGGTGTGCTTTATGTACAACTTGTATTTGTTTATTCCAATTATATATTCCAATATTTATTTCTGTCAGCTCTATGTTTGCTTGTCTGTGTGTTGTACCTTATCGCCAAAAGAAATTCCTTATACGTGTAAAAATTACCTGTCAGTAAACCTTTTTCTGATTTTTATTCCGATTTGGCGGATGAAGCTACATTCCATCTTTAAATCTATGACTGCAGATTGCAATCACCAGCAAGCGAGTCAAATACTAACCTTTATACACAGACTGAGCTCCAACAGTAAAATAACAATATACTTAGTTTCAGATGGGAGCTGATTCCCATCCTGACCATTTCATAGGGATCTACACCAGCTGAAAGTCACAGCCACAAGATGCCACCAGTACCAGATCAGCCACAAAAATCTAAGATAGTACTCTGGGTTTTCAAAACAAAATGGCCTCCTCAATTTGAAATCATGTATTAAACATTGCCTTAAGAATTTGTGACAAGGAGTCAGCCATTGCAAACTCCAACCCCTGATGATAAACAAGACCATGTGCCAAATCCTTTGTTTGTTTTATAGGTACCGACTTGTTTTTTAAGGCATCTCTTACACCTAATATGCCCACAGAAATCACGTACCTTAAGTGACATTTCTATAACCTTTCTTCATACTATACACGTGGACCATCAAATTCCCATTATCCCCTGAGCAGCTTGTAAACGCTAAAAAACTGATCCTCTATTTCATAGACAGGTAAAATGCTATTTTATTCCTATTTAAAACACAACCCTAGTTATATTTTTTTGCTCTTTATTTTTTATTTAAAAATAATCCCTTATTTGCATAAACTTGGCATCCAATTTTGTGTTTTAAAGAATATTTGTACCAGTGTCAGTAACGAAGGAATGAAGTGGTTTGCAATGTTTTTATAACAAGTGCCATCTCTGTAATAAATAAGTTTTTCACTTTAATAGGCTTAATAAAACAGGACTTTATGACTGTTTGATTACTGAAATGATGCAGTTGTTGATATAGTTGTTTTCCCATTATAAAAGGAAGTTTACAAGCTTAAAATTTCGAAAAAGTGTGACAATTAGATATTTCTGCCTGACCTGCAGCTATATTTAAGTCAAAATCAAATATAGCTGCCCAGTAAAATAATAAAGGAATAACAATTTTTTTTTTTTTTTTTTTTTTTTTTTTTTTTTTTTTAAACATGCATAGTTCTTTATGATCTCGTTTAGATAATGGATGATCAACTCTATTGGTTATTGTAAATGTATATTGCCACAGAATTTGTCCTCTGCATTTTAACCATCCTTAACCCTTTATAAAGCCTTTATTGTGAGACTTTGCAATTCAAAATTTAAAGCCAAGAATGCCAAAAAAAAGTATTGTCATGGCAAAAATCAAAATAAATGTAATTACCAAAAACAGTCACTTAAATTAATCTCTCACCCTAAAGCAAACAATGAGTTCTTTTATCAGAAATTCATGAAAACTATTTTTTTTAAAACATAACCCTCAGAATATTTTGCCTAAAAACAACCTGTTTCAATGTTTTACTTTTTAAGTTAGCTTATAAGCCTTTTAAATTAGCTTGTTGTTAACTTATGAATTGAATGTTTTACTTTGCTTATTCGTTTTAAAGCTTAACTACTCTGGATAAGGGTCTTGCTCAGGGGCCCAGATTGCCAGTAAGTGTGTATCAAACTGAGAGGAAGGCAGCCTTCTTCAGAACGCATGTGCTCATTTTTAAATACAAGGCTGCCTCTTACCTTGGGGCAGATGTTGTTTTGGAATCTGTGGAAAATTATAGATGGTAAATGGTCTGTACTTATATAGCACCTATTGAAGTCAGGAGACTCTACACTGATGGAAGCGCCAATGCAGTACACAGGCACCACTAGGCCCTCTGACCACCATCAGGAGACAATGAAGGTGACAAGTCTTTCCCAAGGATTTGACAGGTAAAGCTGGAGCTGGCGTTTGAACCGGCAACTTGTGTAAACTGGTAACTCGGCGCCACTGTCACCCCACCTAACTGTCACCCCTCATTAGGCCTTAACTTGCAAATAATGAATACTAAACTATCCTTTGGGAAGCTCACACAAAAGCCCAAATACCAGTAGTGATTATATTACCAAAGTTTGGAAAATATGGCATTAAAGCATCTGCTAGAAAAGTACTGTAGATAATTTAACCAGTTATCCTTAAGAAGTACATTTTTTCTACCGTAGAGGATATTATAAGCCCTTAATTTTATTTGTGGTCACTGTGTTCAACACAGTATGTTGTGTTAGGTTGGCAGTAGAGCTGATGTGTGGTGAGGTCTAACAATACAGTTGTTTGACTGCATATATTCACATTGCTGTGTGCTGGCTAATTGCATTTCTGCTGACATGCTCAATAGCTTTTTGTTTTATATTAATTTTCAAGCCTGTGCACACAGAAGCAAAATAAAAGCACATGGGCATCATGTTGCCCTTGCCTACACTGTAAGCCTATATACATTACACAGACACATAGTCATACATATGTATGTGGCACAAAGGAAAAAAACACACACACAGAACCATTGTGTTAGAAAATGTCAAATTTGCTCACTTTCCCTCGAGGTTTGGTGTCAGATGAGATTTTGTTTCTTTGCTGAACACTGCACAGTTGGTCCCGGCGTGATTTCTGCTGCATGTGTGTGAGATTGAGAGCTACAGAGAGAAGAGGGCAGTGATGAGATATGTTGCATAAGGGGGTGCAGTGGAGTGTGAAAGAGAACAGGTGGCTCCTTTTTCTGCCATCTAGCTTTATGTGCCATCTTCCCTATTGTGTCTTTGTGTGTGTATGTGTGTGATAAAGCGTGAAAGCCCATTGCCTTGTGAGTACGGTTTTGAACATACCTCGATATAACATATCTCCATAGATGTGCTGTCTTGTACTTCTACTCTTTGAACGTGTATGTATGCTCTTTGGAAGAGCTACGGTTGGTTTAGAAACAATTAGATGAGACTACAGAAGCCCAAAGAGATGGTTCTCCAAATGTCATCCAATTACCAACTTATCGTGGGCACAGGACAGAACTCTCTCATGTTGCCTGTCTCTTCATTTTTCTCTGTCTGTCTGTGTTTTGTTCTCGATTAATCCCTAGTCTCTGTAGAGAGCGACATGTTCGGTGACTAACATTTGAGAAATGGCAGGTTGTGGCACACACTCACTGACAAAAAGAGAAGAGTGAGTTGTTCTCATGTCAAGTCTGGCTAATGTCTGTCTTTTTCCCCTTTCCTTTCTCAGATCAGCCTTCAAAGCCGATGGCCAGGACACGGCAGCAGCAATATCAGCCTTGCACCAAGAGATCGAAGGGTGGTACGGGGAGTATCAGCACCACAAGGAGGGGACCACTATAGCCAACACCACCCTTACCACTATCGGCCCACTGCTGCAGCAGAGCGCCACACTGCCAGAGAGGAGCGCCACCGTCAGGGAACTGCCAACAGCACTGTAAATCTGGCTTCTGGTTCCTCCAACCAGCCTTTAGACCAGACCTCACTCACCAAACCAGCCCAGCCCAGTGTAAATCAAACCCTGGGTTCCAGCTTAGCTTCATCTCCTTTCACCAAACACCCTGAGATGGTGTCATCCTCCTCTGAGTCGTTAACTCCAGGAGGAGGAGGAAGTGGAGCGAGTGTGTCTGGAGGGGCAAAGAGAGGAGAACACCCTCAGCCAAGCCTCATCCCTCGTGCAGTCGGGGCCAGCGCCTCTTCCAGCCTCCACAGTCTCGCAAGCAGGGGGAGCTCCACACAAAACATCTCATCATCAGACCGGGCCTCACCGACACCTCCTACACCTTCATCAGCTTCCTCCTCTTCCTCCTCCTCCGCATTCACTGGCCGCTTAGGACAACCACCCCGTGGCCCGCTTTCTCTGCATAGCTACAGTCGAAAAAATGTCTTCCTCCAGCATTCCCTGCATACGGCCGAACTGCAAGCCCTGACGCAGAGAGACACTTGAGGATGCTAGGATATCCATCCTGCCAAAAGCAGCTGAATCATTAGCTAAAAATATTATAAGTGTGAATACTTAGGAGGAAAACATTGCTGCTTCTCATAATATAGTTACAACAAACTTACCAATCAGAAAAATAGAACCACGATTAAACCTCCCCTCCCTTCATCTCACGCGCCTACAATCACTTTGAGGTCCTAACCAGCCCTTGATTTACTTGCTTAGAGATTTGCTTGATATTACATACGCACATAAACACACACAAACACATCAGGAGGTGAGATTGAAAAAAGGCACTCACCCGTCTATCATTGCTCCCACGTTGTGCCATGCTGACAGTTCAGATGAGCTTACGCCCACAGACAAAAACTCCACACAAACAGAAATACAGTCACCCACACTCAAACTCACACTCTGACACAAAGACGTCGTCTGTGATATCTCTGCTAGGCCATCTGCACCAACAGCACGGCGGTAAAACTGAATGAAAGGACGAGGTGTCTGCATTGCTAAGCTCAGTCTATTGATTGACTGCTTTTTAACAATGAACCAATTTGCTGCTGAAGAACTTCTGGACCTGACTGTGATTTGTGCTCATGATCATGTTTTTCCAGCCTGCCAAATCCAACACCGGATCAAATCCTCATTCCACAGGGGTCCAGATTAAGAGACTGCAAACCTTGTAGAACTGCATGCTTTTTAACTTAAAAAAGGACCCCGCTGGGCATTTATTGCTGCAGCAACTTTAATCTTATTACAACATAAAGTCTCAGTATGAACTTTCTTGTCAATGTTTTTAAAAGGGAAGGAAACGTGTTAAAAACTTTCATGACATTAATTAACCTGCTTGTATAGTCTTTTGGGAACAATATAAATCATTGGAGATAGAAAAAAAATATTTTCTTCACTCAATACTTTTTTTAGTTGTAGGGATGCGAGGTTGAACTTTAACCCGCAATATACTTAAGGAGATAATGAGTATCTGTCCACAAGACATCAGGAATAAGATAATAAGTCTGTTCTAAAATATAAAAAGGCCATAACTTTGATAAGCTAATGTCAAACTTGAGTTTGGAGAAAATGGTACTATGTTTGACTTTTTTTTTTTTTATAGATAAGAAAAAATCTGAGCCTTTTCTTTGCAGTAGATGGTGATGGGCATTTTGAATAACAGCAAACTGGAACCTGATAAATAATCACCTTGAAGGGATAACTGGCATTTTTCTCTAAACTAATTATGAGTCATGGTTTCCCTGCTGTAGAGATATTTTCCGTATTACAGTGAGTTTGTAGAAAACTGAATAATCACAACTAAAGAAATGGACTCCTTGCTTTAGCTCAAATATCGTATATGAGAAGTTATTATTATGTCAACTGTTTCAAAAGTTACATATGTTATGTCTGGTGAAGTTTTCTCTTTCCGTTTTTTCAGTTTTCTCTTTCAACCCTGAAGTTATTTCAGTTAAGGCTACCGACTCTATCAGTCCACCAAGCAAAATGCAGCAAACCAGCTGTGTTATTTCAGTTAAAAGTAGTACAGTAGGTTTTTTGTACTTTCCAGATCTCTTGAAATGATTTTTGTCTCTGCTGAAAGTGTAGCTGATTAATATCTGCAAAAAGATCCTGGATCAATCTTTAAAGACTCGGAAAAAGATGCTTTTAAGAATGGGCATTTTCTGCAGGATTTAAACTGAGCTATAAGTTCAGCCTTCTTGCAGAGGAAATACATAAAAGAAAGAGGAAAAAACAAATGAAGAAGGAATACTGTCGAAAACAATGTTTACCTTTAAACAGACTTTTCATTCCTTGAATGAAACCATTTAAAAATAACAAAGATTCCAAAAATTGTCTCAGTTTTAAACAATGCGCTGTTCTTGCTGTCTATTAAAAATATCTTTATTCATAGAGAAAATCAGTAAACCTTTCTATAAAGCTCTGCCATATGTTCCTAAACTTTTTTTTGAGGGATTTCAATAAGCATGTATAAAGTTTCAAAATATAGATATTTTAGATGGCCCTTTTCTGGACAGCCAATGTGAGAGACGTTGTTGTTCTGTGAAAAAAGTCAGTTATCAATTCAAATGATGACCTCCTGTCTCACTACAACATCTCCACATCACCAGCCACGATTTAATACCCCTGCACAACTTAAAGGAATAGTACACCCAAAACATGATTAGCCTTCATTTTCTACTCACCCCCATGCTGAACAACACTCTGGAGTACTTTTTTGATATCTCAAATGCATCTGGAGATCTGGGAGGCTTCTTGCTGTCTGCTGACATTCAAATAATGGAGGTCTATGGCGCCCGAGGCAGAAAGGTCCATAAAAGTCCACATAAAATGTGTCAATATTCCTCCATACTGCTCGTTTAATGTATTCCAAGTGTCCTGAGTGGGTAGCATGCAGAATTTACTCGAAACGAAGTCATTTAGAATGTTTTTAGAGCATAGACAGTAGTGTATAGGATTTCCTGTAAGCGCGCACATGCGCGTTCACGAGTCTACGGAAGCCGGCAGACCAAACCAGCGCATTCAGCTTGGCAAAGAACTCATGCTCTTCCTCAACACTGAAGTCCTCAGACATTGTTCTTTCGTTGTTTCTTTCTTTGCACAGGTAAACAGCACATTTCTTCTTCTACGCTTTCATTATTGGCAGAGCAGACGCTGAATGCGCACTTTCATCTGGTTTGGTCTGCCGGCTTCCGTAGCGTCATGAACGCGCATGTGCGCGCTTTCAGGAAATCCTATACACTATTGTTTATGCTCTAAAAACATTCTAAATGACTTCGTTTCGAGTAAATTCTGGATGCTACCCACTCAGGACACTTGGAATACATTGGACGAGCAGTATGGAGGAATATTGACACGTTTTTTGTGGACTTTTATGGACCTTTCTGTCTCGGGCACCATAGACCTCCATTATTTGAATGTCAGCAGACAGCAAGAAGCCTCCCAGATCTCCAGATGCATTTGAGATATCAAAAAAGTACTCCAGAGTGTTGTTCAGCATGGGGGTGAGTAGAAAATGAAGGCTAATCATGTTTTGGGTGTACTATTCCTTTAAAGAGCCACTGTTTTATCCAGGACAATAGAAGTAATCCAAAATGCATAAATGAACATCTTTTTTTTTATTGTTCAAGGATAAAACTTTTTCCACCTTTCTGTGTCTCTCTTTGGTGCTCCATGGCATTCCTGGAACAAGTAGGTTTATAACAGTGGAGATAGGATTGGGATAGGAAAATAATTTGTTCCTTAAGTCTTCGCTCACAGTATCAGCATCAGTAAAGACCCTCAGCTGGGTGTGGGATCAGCTTGTATTTTATAGAAACTCAGCAATCCTGTCATGTTCAAAGATAGAGGGCCCCTCTACTTTAGCCATCAGGGGTGATGACACTGCGAATGCCTGACTAACCCAGGTCTATGGCAAGATAGTGAATATTTAACGCCACTGTCCTTAAAAATCTGAACAGCTAATGAAGAGTCTGTTTTCAATAATTCACCTATTCTGATTTTTTTTCCGCGCTTGTGCTCCTGTTTCTTCTTTTGCATTTTGAAGCTGTTTTTATAACATGTTTAGGAGCAGTACAAAATGCAATTACTGGTAAGTCCTTTCCAAAGCGTTTAGAGTCTGATCCAGAGTCTTCTGCACCATTCTACAATAATATAAACATTTTTATTTTTAGATGTTTTAATTTGCTTGACTGTGAAAAACAAGGGTTCTGTCTAAGCATCCTTTCGCCTCTTTTTTAATTAGTTGAATTTCTATTAATTTACTGGGATGCCACATTTTTTCTACAGCAGTTTAGGGAACCTTTACTGAGAATAAATTAACAGAACATACCTTCAGAATCTATACTATCCCTTTATATTTAAGATGATTTATAAAAATATTCAAGTAAAGCAGTCCCTTCATTTGAGTCTAGTATAGAGAAATAGAACATCATTGCACCAAACTCTGTTTTCTTGATCAAATAAGCAGATAAAATGATTAGAAAGTCTCTTTTTCCAGAGGAAATTTTGTAAAAAGCATTTATTCACTTCATTTTTTTATTCCTCTTTCATTTAAATGACAATTTCCCATTTGCCCAGTACTGCTATTCATGTTTCTTTTGACTATAATTCCATTTCAGCGATGGGGAAATTACTGCCAGGATTTATGACTAATACTCTTTTGGACAAGGTTTGTTTTAATGACTAAGAGAGACCACCTTTTTTTTTAACTGAGCTGTGTAACAATCTGCTTGGTTTAACACCGTGAATATATTTTCTGTTAACCGTTCAAACCATAGAACCAGTCTTTCCCCCCCTTGGCCTTGTTGTACACGGATCCCAAAAAGTCAAGCAGTAGGCAGAAATTTGTACTTGTTCATGGTGCGGGCGAGTAGTTCACTGCCGCTGGCATCTACAGACCATGCGAGGTGTTGGAAGGGTTGTTGACCTTGTCTGTCTCTAAATAGTACCTGGCTTGGGGGGACCTGTGTAAATGATGTGTGTGTGCTGTAATACTCACATCATAAGGAGGGAAAAAAAGGATGTGGTAGAAGCAAAGAAAAGCCTGAAGGCCAGCTGCTCTGTTCCTACTGTTCTGCTTTTGGTTTGTTTTGCTATGACAATAACCGCCTTCCTTTGATTTTTCCCATTTTTCTCCTCCAGCTTCACTCTGTTGTTATTTTCTACGTGCATTCTCTTACTGCTAAACTCCAGCATCCTTCTGCAGCATTAGCCATCACCTCTCTTTCTGTTCATTCTAATGTCTACTTCTCTCCACCATACTATAAAATGTTTATATTGTTATACCTTTTATTGTTGTTTTAAACTCTGTGGCATTCTCCGGACACCAGGACCTGCTGCTATACTGTGCTGATTTTAACTCCATCTAATATGTGGGTAGACGACCTCAAGCAAAACAATTGCTGCTTCATCAGTTTACAGATGATCCTTCTGTGTAACTCGCTGGCCTCTTGAATAGTACTTTTTTAACATCCTCCATTGATGCATGTTTTAGAGCTGTTGACACCATGTGAAATATTGTGAGAGTATTTAACTGCCCACACAGGTTTTATTTTTGCTCTGTGTTTGAATTGGCTGAACTCGTTTCAGCTGCACCGAAGAACATGGCACACTGAGAGGCAGCTGGTTATGTCATGAGAGAAAGAAGCCACATCTGAGATTGAAGCTCAGATCTGGCCTTCAGGTCTTGTACTTTTTTTTTTTTTTTGTTTCCAAATCAAAAGAATTAAATGATGCTGAGTTTTGACTGCCGGTAGTTGATAAACCCTATGAACCTCAGTACTTTATTTCTTTTTTAACAGGATGCTGTATGTTTAAATCACTACGTTTTTTGGGAGATTATTTATTGTTTTGTTTTTTTGTTGCCTTATTTAAAATCAATTGCCATAGGAACAGTTTCTTAGAAACTTGAACAGGTTGGGTAGCGGGCATGACAATAGTAAAGTAAAAAGAAAAAAGATAATCATGTAAAAAAATAATGCTCTTATAATCATTTATGTATCTTGCTGTAATTATTTCTTTTTTTTATTATTCCTGTAGTACGATTTAAATGTATATTTGTGCATAAATTATTGGTTCATTAATAATTGTTTGTCTAAATGAATATGTTATTACTCTCATGTCTTTGTTGGCATAAAAGAGATTACAACATGAAAACCAACACATTTTTCACATTTCTACGTTTCAAATGCAGTCAAAGGTCTGACTGATAACCAAAGAGCTTCAGGCCTTATTGATTTACCCCAAAAACAAAGAAACTTCATTTTAACTTTTGTGTCATTCACAGTGTTTGTTCTTATTTGTTTTCTTACCGTAGAAAAGGACAACTCTGCTGCTTTGTTGCGTCCAAAACAGGCAATGATCTATTAAAGCTGCTTTATGCTGAAATGTAACTACAGCGAGGAAAATAAGTATTGAATACGTTAAGATTTTTAAGCTTGATATATTTGTCAGATTCAGTTTTGTTGACCATATTTCTACACTCAAAGAATTAACGTCAACTCAACTTTGCTCTGATAAAAGGAAAATAAAAGGTGTTTCTGTAGCTATGTATTTAAACTTAGGAAGGTTTTTTTTCTGTTAATGCTCTTGATGTAGAATCACATCAGGTGTTGGTACCAAACACATAATCAACAAAAACAAAGGAATCAAAACAAACTTGCTCATAAATTAGATTTTGTGCAATGAATTTAAATTATATAGGGTAAAAAGATTTAACACAACAATGTAAACCTGTTAGCTGCTAGAAAACCAATTGCTGGCAATTAGAACTTCAAGATGCCTCCTGTAAAGAGACAGTAATCCCACATATTGCGTCAGTGTGATTGATTCAGCTGCAAACATCTTCAAGTCTAAAAGGTTATGAGGGCCTCACCCTGATCTTTAGTCCCTTCCCTGGATTTCCAATTAGATGCAAGTCAGATAATTGAGTGAGCCATTTTAGCAGCTTAACTTTCTTTGAAACCACTTCAGTTTCTTCAGCTGTGTTTAGTTTCATCATCTTGTTAAACAATCCAATATTTTTCTATTTTAGATTCTTCTCTAGAATATCTTGATATATTCCTCCGTCCTTCTGCTGTATGGAGTCTACAGTACCTCGAGCATATGGTAAAAACTTCCCCGAATTTGGTTTTCTCAACTCCGGACTGCAGATTTAGTGTGGTGCAGGTACAAGCTGTTGCCTTTGGGTGTTGCCTACGTATTTTTTTTATCGATAATTAGATTAAAATCATTCCATTTCCTACTGAAAGCCTGTGCAAATGGTCTTGGGCTCTACTCATTATGCATCACTCTCTTAAGTAAGAAATCTCTGATTGGATTTGAAGTAATACTTTCTTTAGCCAAAATGATGTTGATTGAATCAACCAGAAATATAGAAGTCTTACTAAGGAATAACATGGTTTTTAAATAAAATGTTTGGGGGTTTTCCTGGGGGGAATATAGTACCTTGGTTAATAAAAACCCTCATATTGACCATCACTTAAGACTAAACCTGCTGATGTCACTATGCACTGATAGTAACCAACATGTTTTATAGAATAGAGTGCATCTCAACTGTTTTCCTTTGTGTTTAAAACCTAATTTACTTAAAACTTATTTTTTACACATATCTTAGTTTGGAGTGTGTGTGCTTTATTTGTCAGAAAGTTAAGCAGTTGCCACATTTAAGTGTGAAGTTTCATTTCAAGTCTATCTTAGAAATATGTTTACTAAGAAAAAAAAATGAACGTGTTCAATACTATT